TTATTTTAACAAAAAATCCGACTCCTCTGACCTGAGCATTTTATCACTTGTTGTTCATGGCAAGATAAATCGATATGTAAAAAATTCTTGAGTTCTTATAAACATATGTGGGTGTTTACCTTTTTGGTCACTCAGTATACATGTCACATCATATTGTCCATATACGAGTACGTATATTGAAAGTCAATCAGCCTGACGCATTCTTTTAAGGCAATGGGCGTAAAGGTTGCAATTGCGGGAATAAATTAATTACAGATATTCGGAAGCCTATACATTTCAATTACATTCCCCAAGTCTGTGCAGAGGAGTTACAAAATGGGTGTTATCGAAGTCTTAGCCCAACATCAAAGGGATCCATTCAAATAAGATTTATTATAGCTAAAAGCGAGAAGCATCATTGGAATTCACTTCATCCTCGGCTGATTGAATTTGACATTGTCTGTCCTGCCGTACAAAATGCCTCTCCCTTTTCCAGCTTGTATGCGTACAAATGCCGAAATAAATTATGAAACCCTGCAACCCCTGTCTTCCCACCCCCACCTGACAAATGTACAAAGCGAGTAAAACTGAACTGATAAACATTTCCATTTCCACGTTTACCCGAAGATTTGTAATAATGGATTCCTTGCCAAAACCACCCTGAATCAAACCGAAAGTTTGTTATCGATTTTGGCTGATGCAGTGGTGGGTGCAGCAGTTGAGAGGTTTGGTCGGCACCCATTTCTCACTTTGCAGATCTTAAGCCCTGAGCGTAATTTTCAGAACATTATTCCGGAATGTCGTCCCACTTTGACGGTGGAATTAGATTCATACAAACCGATTTTATCCGAAACATTGAACATAGAATAGATGTAGCAAAAAAATGGCGTCAAGCATATTGACTCTATACAGGGTGTCCGCAAAGTTGGGGTTTTCCTTTACACGACGTGTAGATCTTGAAAACATAAGCAATTTTTCTTAGTACCATATACACCAATGTCTTAAGGGAACCGAGATAAAGAGCTCTGCAACATCAAAAATATATGAATACCATCCTGTAGCCGCGACATCACGGAGTGGTACAATGTCACTGGCTCAACCCGACGACAGAACTGGGTCGGGGTCAGTGTGTCAGGTCAGTATGCAACCTTCAACCGACGGTTACGGTCACGCCTGTAGAGGTAATCGCGTAGACGAGAATCCCTCAACAAGCACTAGAGACGTGGCTAGAGAAGTGCAAGTATCAAAAACTAAAGTGTGGCAAACGCTGCGTGAAGAGGGGCTGAATCCATTTCGCGTCCAACGTGTACAAGCCCTTCAACCTGACGATTTTTTGTGAGTGGTTGTTGCATCAACATAACAATAATCCGGACTTTTTGAAGTGCCTATTGGTGACAGACGAATCTACATTCACGCGTAATGGGGTGAATAACTTTCGCAACACTCATGTTTGGTCAGTAGAAAATCCGCACGCTGTCCGTCGGGCACATTTTCAACAAACATTTTCGGTGAATGTTTGGGCTAGCATGGTGCGTCTGCTCGGTAGCGCATCATCTGATTTCATTTTCTGTTGGAGCGGTATGATTTCGGGCAGAGACGTACTTAGCCCTTCTCGTCAACTGGAGAGTGAGTACTTTTTCCTTTATTTTTTCTTACTTGGTCGCCCTCGTTTCACTACACATTACCTTTGTTATTTCAAGGGTAGTTGTTTCTGAAAAGGTAAACCCCAACTTTGCGGACACCCTGTATATCCTGTAAGCTAACATCAAATGTACAAGTCTGTTATTGCTATAGGAATGTGCTATTTTAGGGTCTTTCAAATCCGATTTAAACAGTTTCCTTTTGCTAGCAAACGTAGTATCTTTTCACCTAGTTCTTTGCTGCAGACAAGACTGGATTATCACATATTTTTTCTGTATTAGGTACTAGGATAATATGCATATTTCCACAAGAACTACACTCTGTGTGAAGGAAGATCACAACGCTACACTCTGTATTTTGAGCCATTTGTTGATAATAGTATTACATGGGTGCTAGCAATTCGTTTTTCGATCAGCAAGGTACAGTTTATGGCGTACTGTCACCCATACTCTGAATATTTTTAACACGCTTTTATTAGCTTGGCCTGCATGTACGTATGTATCTTATGTATGTAATGCAGTGTAGTTTCGGACTTACTCTTTGTTGGTTCGGGCACTCGGCATAGCACAACAGAGGCAGATACTTTTTCATGGTAGTACATTCTCGCCTTGTTCATTGCAAATGTTGCCATTAATCCTGAGCTGGTCTTCGACCGTCCATAAGATGCAAGGTTGTACAGTCATTTATCTAGACTCACGATTGTTTGCTGCTGAACAAGCTTATGTAAGATCTTTAGACGGTAATCGGATTGAAGAACTTGATTGCTCTAAGTTAACAGGAAAAACCGCAGGCAACCGTGAAGCTTTAAATAAAATGATTAGATTACGAAATGATTCCTAAGACATTTCAATACCACAAAAAACTAATTGATAAATCGAAATAAAAAGTGAAAAATAAATAATAGTTTAAGGGTGGATTTCATCAGGGTTGTCAAATCAACAGTGCGTTATTCCCCACCTATAGGGTAATAGTCTGTCAAATACAGCGAACGAGCTTAAAGTACCAATCAACAAATTTTAGCAACCAATAGCTATGAAATGCTGAAAACAAAATACTGTCAAAGTATGAGATGACAGCTCGTAATTGGAACATCACCAGCTTATTGAATATTATTAAATTATATATTATTTAGACAAAATTTAAAAAAAATTTGAATAAAATTCATGTTTTTATATAATATTGTCGATTGATATACGATTTTACTGATTCAACATCACCTACCGTGTGTTTTTTCCTACAAACTTCTTGCAGATAGCCATTAAGCACCTACTTGATGACAGGCTCCACCAAAAATTTCATAGATATTGCTCGTTTCCAAACATTCATCCATTTACTTGCCGTTCATCAGTACCATTATGGCACCTTAGATTGATATTCCCACAAAACCATTCAGGACTTTTGATATCCATACATCCATAAAGTAAAATATTTTTTGGTTGTTCTGGAACTGAACAAACGTCCACACTATATTTAAAGCGATTAAAAAATACTCAAATATATGTCGTAAAGCTACTGGCAAACTTAAAACCTGCAAAAAAAATAGAACTTGCAATAACTTTCTTGTTTCACTGAGTACACATTCGAGGTTATATTTATATTAGACGTTATTTGAATAACAGCTGATTATTACATCCGTCAACCCTTGGTCCCAATAGAGTAAGTGAAATATAGTCTACTATGCTTTATAAGACTATACGTGGAATTTTTCCCAAAATCGTTGCCAACACTTGAAAAAATGCAAATGAAGGTTTAAAATTATTTCCATGACGCCGCAAAATAGCTCCGTCGGTACCTAGGATACTTGATAGTAGGGATGTTCGATAATATCCGATATTTAGAAGTATCCGTACTTTTGCTTCCCATACCCGATATTATACGTATAGATCGATATTTTTATATACGACACTTGGGTGTATCGATACATTTCACGAGTATCGTCAAATTGCATTTCGATAAGGTCTTTTCCTATTGGTCCAACTGACCGTCAAATATGAATGTTGGTGAAATTGGCCCTAAAAAACCTAAAAAGACACCTTTTTATAGCTAACCGAACTGTAAAGTAGAAAATAATTTTTGAATACAAAGGGTTTATATCACAGTAGTAGTGGATGGTCGAACAATCAATCATAATCAATGACCTCAAAATAAAACTATAATAGAATTTAATTTATTAAAAGAATGATTCAAGTTAGAGTAAAAAGCGTGGGGTGCATTTTACTACATTTTCGTAGTTATCCTCATAGATAGTTGCCTATACAATGATTGTAACTTTAGTATATCAAGCATCCCACGCTTTTTATTTTGAGGTTATTAGTATTATGATTAATTATTCGACCATCTACTGCTCTAGTATAAGCTTTTTGTAATTAAATATTATTTTATACTTTTCAGTTCGGTTAGCTACAAGATCGTGTTTTTTTAGTTTTTTCAAACTATTGTTTATTAAAAAAGCGTTATTCTCGACCACAATCTCGCTTTTGCTCATGTTTCAATTGCAAATGAACTTCTAAGGCACTAAGGAGTGGAGTAGCAAGACTATAACTTTTTGAGCTGTCTTCACTGATGCCCATTAACAAAACGAAGTTTCTCGCTTTTTTATATCGCCACTACGCAAGGCCGAAATACTGCTGCTTGATAGGTATTCATAATAAAAGTTGTATTCCCAAATGGTAGATTCCTTCTCAATGTAAGATTACCACCACAAACACCTCTATTATCCACACGTAGATAATATGGTGCATGAAATATTACTCAAGACCATAGGCAGCACGTAAATATCCACGTAGAACAATCGACGGTGTCATTGTGTAGCATCTGGTGACATATTCAAAGGTAAGCGTATTTTCCTCTATAAACTGTTGTTTTGTCCGGGTGAGTAATGAAAGTGGGATGCTAAAATCCATTCCATTGTCTGCAGGGAGTCAGCTGGGAAGAAAAAACAGGTTTAGGGGTGGAAACGTATATCAAACCCTCTCGTGATGATAAGAAATAAAGGAATTCCATGAGCACCCAGGGAAGCTCCAAGAGAAGATCTGAGATTAAATCTCGAATTACATTATCTAATTAAGTCAGAGAGAGATATATGTTAAGTAATGTGGAGCACTTTGCATTTGATTTGAATCAACACAGTTTTCTGTAAAATGTTGAAAACAAAAACCCTTAGCGTAGGTTAAGATGTCAACGAAAGTACGTAGCGCGGAGTTTTTCCTTTGTTTTAGAGATGATGTCAAGTATACTAACTCCGTAAAGTGGGTGAACCGTGAAAGACGATGTTAACAAATATACAGTTATCTCGTTATTTGGTATGACTATATACGAAGGATGTCTTTTAAGTTTTGCATATGGCAATAAAACAGCACGGTAGGTAGTTTTAAATGACTCTATTGTTTTTCGAGGTATTCTCCACGAAGATTAATACACAGCTGCATGCGCTCGAACCAATTTTCGAAACACATATTACACTCGTTTGCTGGCAGATCCAAAACGGCATTTTTGAATGCATCAACTGCTTCTTTTGGTGACTGGAACCTTTGACCACGCAGTCTGTTTTTAAATTTCGGGAAAGCAAAGAAATCGTTAGGACTTAGATCGGGACTATATGGAGGATGGTCCAATAATTCCAGGTTTTCTTCCGTTAAATACTGCCTTGTTTTTTGGGCTGTGTGCGAGCTTGCATTGTCTTGGTGGAGGATGATTCTTCTTTCGGGGTTGATTTTTCAAAGCTCGGTGATAACTTTTGGCAAACACATCCGCAGTAACAGTTCTTTGCTCATAAAGAGGAATTATTGCAATATGACCCGCTTTTGACACAAATGTCACGACCATCTTTTTCGAAATACTTCGAGAACGGATGACTTTTGTTGGCTTTTCTTCACCTTGGAACACCCAAACAGCCGACTGTCGTTTATTTCTTGGTTCGTAACAGTAAATCCACGATTCATCACCACTAACAGTGCTGTACACATTTTTTTCCGGAATTGAAACCGTCAAGCATTTTTTGACACCAATTAACCCTGGCTGCTTTCTGCTCTTCACTCAACAGGTGGGGTATCCAACGAGAAACTGATTTTCTTACTCCTAATTCTTCATGTAAAATTTTTTGAATTGAGGTCTTTGAGATCTTCAAGGACGCCTCAATCTCGCGCCTATCTGCAATGATAAGTTTGCGCACAGCATCGACGTTTTCCTGGGTGACTGCCGTTTTTGGTGCACCCACCCTGGAATCGTCGCTAAGACTCACCCGTCCACGTTTGAATTCTTCATACCAAGGGGAAATTGTCGACTGATGTGGCGGCTTCGTTGCCGAAAATAGACAGTAAATCAGCAAGGCATTCTTGTTGCGATAATTGTCTCTGAAAGTGTAATAAATTATGGTGCGAAAATGTTCTCGGTTAAGTTCCATTCTTCTAATGACTTGGTGACACTTAAAAATTCACTGTAGTGAGAACACTGCACGTATTGTTGTGAAACTTTGAATTTACGTTTACTAAAGAGTGAGGTTAAGATTCAGTACTGACGTTCGATCCCCGCGGCCTACTATATTTCTATATGCAAAATTTAAAAGACATCCCTCGTATCTGAGCTACTTTGTTCATAGGTAATGATCATAGTAAATTATCACATACATTTTATCTTTTCCGCCATGAATAAAAAAAGGAAAATACACAATGCACACACAAAGAAGAAGATGTCCTCGTAGCAGAGTACCGGTTCACCCATTAACACCAATATCATACTTGCCCAGTCGTTACAAATATCCACGACGTAACTATTAAGCAAGTATTAGAACACCAAGCTGGAAGGGGCGCCATAGAAGTTGGCTCTGCTCTTTACGACTCTCTCAGAAAGACTATTTCTAGAAATTGTGGAAAAATTGACGTTTTTTTTCAATGGCTGCGTAGACCAAAACAAAAACAGCCACATAGTTCACAAGCTAATTATGTGGTCGTACAAAGAGGCTCAAAAAATGATGCAATTTATTAGAATGATTTTTCCAATAATACCTGCCGGCGGACCGCATTTTTAGACGATGTAAGAAGCCTATTAGATCCCATAGCATAGTAAAGTCACCAGAAAAATACTGGCAGTTGTATTATGAAGTTGGATTGGTTCCAATACTTAGGATTGACTGGGAGATAAATGACTTAAAATCCACTATGTCTATCTTCAAGAAAATCGATACAATCAGTCATGCTAAGCGAATCTTGAAAAAACGGACCCCAAAACAACATGTAGCTGTAAAAACAGAAACTTGTTACAGAAATGTCGATGCCACTGCCAAGTATTTGACGTTGATAAGACAAAATCAAAATTTAAGATTTCCAAGGTTACCTGTGATGAAATAAAAGGGAAAAAGTTGAAACATCCGCATAAGCGTTTGGTGCAATCATCTAGATGTGGCGTGAGGATCAAGAATTGCAATGGCTTCTTCGATTTTTTCTAGAGCACCTTGAAGAACTGCAAGAGATTAGTGATGAAGACGCTGACGAAGATATTGTCCAAGCAGCATGTAACTGCATCGAAGATGAGTTTGGTCATTTTTCTTTCAATGTAGTTCTAACAAAACTGTTTTATTGTATCAGTAAATGAAAACTATTTTAACTTAAGCTACCGCTTCCCGAACCGAAGAACTTATTTCACCTTTGGAAAAACAAAGTGCATTAAACAAAATACATTTTTAGGCAAAAAACGAAACTCTGATCGTGTAATCCTCCTTCAACATTTTTCCCTATATCAGGTATTTGCAAATACACCTGCTTTCACGGCAGTTTTTGTTACATTTCTCAACTTATGCGAAGCATAGTATAACGCTTTTTGAAAGTCTGCTCCTCTCATGTGGTGAGGAGAAAATGGTTGTATCTCCAATACCTAAGTCTTTCCTTAAAGAGCATGTTGATACTATCATCACTGTTTCATGTCGCTAATCGATTATCAGGAGCTTCACGTTGCGTTATCACTGGCATGTTATAGAAGAAGCTATACATCAAATGCTATCCCCTACTGTTCTGGTGTTCTCCACGTCAAAATCCTGGATGCACATGAAACTTTATGATAGAATACAATAGTCTCTGTGACCATAACCAACTGTATGTAACATTGTTTTGTGCTTTTTAGCAATCATCGGTACGGTACATTATTCGTATGTAGATCGAGCAAACTATCCATAGGTAGTGTGTCACCTTTGGTTTATTTTTCGCATGAAAATACTCGTATATCCCTGCTGGAATGTACATCGTAACTCTATTCGAAGAGGCTGCATGCAGAGATGCCTGGCATGCCTGTCGCAAGTTGAGAGGGAATCTAGCAAACCTCCTGTGGTTGCTTAATGTACTGTTAAACCGTATACATAATCCTTTAAAAATGCGGCACAGTCTCTCTCTCCGTCCTCCCTAATACTGACAAACGATCCCGTGGGATGTACACTTTGTTTTCTGTTTGCAGCATAATCGGTTTAAATCGGTAATTAATTACTTTTTAGGGTAAGTTTCGTTAGCAGTTTTATCGCCTTTTTAAAGCATGCTTTTTGTTTAGAAAACTAGCTATGGCTTTGTTTAGCTACTTTCTCATAAATAAGCTCGTACCAAAGACGTTCACGGGTCGTATTTATAGACTTTTTTTTGTTATTAAGTTATTATATTTTCATTTCTCGATCATTTTCCAAATTTTCAGTTTAGAATTTTCAGTTTCTTGAAGAATAGATATAAACTTTAATTCTTTTTGAAAATCATGAAAACTGTAAATTTTGAAACCTTTTTTCTCAAAATCCGCTATAATTATTACTTTTTGAATGGGTGAACTTAGCAAGCTTAAATTCGGGAACATAGCAGTTGTTCGATCGCACCGCTCAAGGTTACCTCTTCGCGAGAATTAAATAAATGAGTAATTATTGCAAATGTTAGCACTAATTGCAAACCGTTTCCAATATACATAATTTCCTATCACATATCATACGCGCAGAATTTGGAGCCAACCGCAGACCAATTCAATTATTGACATGTCGATAATATTAAGCGGTGATCTTTTGTTCGATTTGGTAGTAATAGGTATAATTGGTAGGAGTTCGGAAATTGTCGTATGACGTCGACGCGGTTTTTCCGTTTTTTTTCCCGGTTCGCGAAACGTTCGGAAGGAAAGCGATACCGTTTCGGAAAGTAGAAACTCGGCGCTTTACCGGGAAGCGGGAGCCGTCGCGGTGAGAAGAACGGATCGGATCGAAAACGGCCGGTAAAGTCGAAAAAACCGGTAGATTTTCGTTCTGTCCGACGTTCAACATAGGTTTCCGCCGAAGACAAAGGAGCTGCGAACCTGGCGATTTTTGCGCGAGAAAGCCCCGGCTTCGGGCTCAAAGATAGCGGCTTTCTTTTTTTTTCTTTATGCCTTTTCGTTCGAAAATTTCGATTTTTTTGATTTCCTCGACTACGCGCTACTTTCCGATTTTTCCGGTTTTTTTCCGGGTTCGCGGAACGTTCGGAAGGAAAACGATACCGTTTCGGAAACTAGAAACTCGGCGCTTTACGGTGGAGCGAGAGTTGTCGCGGTAGGAGGAACGAACGCGATCGAAAATGGCCGGTAAAGTTGAAAAATCGGTAGATTTTCGTGCCGTTCGACGCGCTTTTTCTATCTCCTCCGAAGATAAAGGAGCTACGAACCTGACGATTTTTGCGTGAGAAAGCCCGGACATCGGACTCAAAGATAGCGTCTTTTTTTTTCCTTTATCCCTTGTCGTTCGAATGTTTCGATTTTTTAAAAATTGCCCGACAACACGCTACTTTTCGACGCGCGAAAAAGTCACTTTGTCATCCGGCTCTGTCCTCGCCTATTACTACCGTACGTGAGCGAGTAAAAATTATACAGCTATCGAAATATAACGATAATGAGCTGAGGAAACGATTCTGACCGTTAGAATTACCGTCAAATTTCGAAAAAGTAAACTTTGAGCGCCTCAAAAGTACCGATGACAGCCGTTTTTCGGCGTACTTTGTCTTCGTCGATACGGACCTGCGTTACGGAGCGACGTAGCTACGATTTTTTTTCGCAAAACGAAAGACCAAAGTCTCCTGATTAAACCGACATATGACACGTTACCCGATCGCATTTTTTAAACTCGGCAGATTAGAAAATTCAAAGATATGCAGATATTTTTAGTTTGAAGTTTCAATTTTGAATTTCCCCTCCAGATCCCCAGATTCCTGTTAGGCGGGGTAATGTAGGTATAATCGTATTACGAAAGCGAGCGAGTGCGAGCAGAACGTCCGAAACGTGCCATTTTCGGCTTTATGTTGGTCGCTTCATCGAATATTGGATCACGCCAAATAGAATTGTCCTTTTTTACGCGTGAAAATCAACATTTTCGAAAAGATTCAAAATTTCTATATTTCATAGTCTAAACGGACCGGACTATAGCCATTATTATAATGATAATCAAGTATGCCTTGGCAACGATGTAATTTTTTACCGGCAGCTAAGCATTTAGGCTTTGACGTTTAGCGATTTGTTTACAAAAGTCATCATCACTTTCAATACGATAAATATGATTGTAAACCCTAATGAGTGGCATAATTTTAGATGAACGTTTATATGGATCCATCCTAAAAAGGCAACAAGTCCACAATATAGCAAAACTTTGTGCTTATAGCAGTGTGTCTTGCAAGTGTCTAGTGGTGCCGAGTGTTTTTCGGTTCAGACGACGTACCGCAGTGTATTTGTTACAGGCAAAGCCCGAAGCGCGGGCAATCCGAGGAATGACTAGTCATTTCGCGAAGTGGCCAGAATATTCGGTCAAAGTCCGAAATACTCTTTGAGTTCCGGACATTAACTGCGGCTCTTTTAGTCAATCCTAGGAGTGACTGACCCACCTCGTCAAAGTCCGAAACGAAGAAACGCTCATCGGACTCTGACTATTTATGCTAATTTCAGTGTACTAATACCTACCGGTAGGTTCAGAATCTTGTTCCATTAGAACGCCTTCATTTCCTTGAAGCGTCGTTTCTAAAATAGCCCCGTCGCCGTCAGATGGGATCAGGGCATTTTCAAGATCTTCCTCAGTTCGAAGAAGCTTCTTTATTGTATCCGGGAGGGTCTGAATCCCAACATGAGCTTTTCTCCCTGCAACAAGTTAAAAATATGATTTCTTTTCTCATTCCCATAGCCCTTATTTTACATACCAAACATGACTTCAAATGGAGTTTGTTTGATTCCTGTGTGAAAAGCGTTATTTTTCTGAAGTTGGCAGAATTTCAGGCCTTCACTCCATCTGTTGGTCTTGTTGTCTTCCATCCATGCAAACAAAATTTTCTGGACTTCTTGGTTAGCCCTTTCGACGCTACCTTGACTCTCCGAATGGCGGGGTTTTCCATGTACAATAGTCAGTTGAGGCCATAAGGTTTTTAATTCTTCAATTATTCGGTTGGCGAATTCTCGGCCATTATCTGACTGAAGCACAGACGGGGCGCCGAAGGCACAAAAAATGTCTAACAGATTGTAGGCAACTTCTTCTGCGGTCTTGGTTTTTAAGGGACGCAAAATTACGAATTTACTTAAGTGATCCTGATAGTTCATTATAAATTTGAAGTCACCGTCACGGCACGTTTGCATGTCGATCAGATCAACTTGTGCCCGCGCTTGTATTTCCTTAAAAAGCAATGGTTTTACAACCAAACCCCGTTTGGGATGTTTTTTCTTCTTTTGACACGTTTTACATAGGTCTAAATAGATCGAGATACACTCTTTCGTAACATTTGCGTATTTATTTTTCAGCACCTTTATCGTTTGATCCCTACCGCCATGACCACATTCACGGTGAGCTGTGTGTATTACGTCGAACAGTTCCTTGTCTGTGATGTAGAATTTAACGTTTGGGTCGTCTAACACGGGTGTGATCAATTTCTTCACATTTCCAACGTGCCAAATATCATACCTTCTTAATCGTCGGTATTGCAGTGACGTTTTCGTCTTAGCGGCCTTAGCAGTTTCCACTTCAGCAATCAACTCGTCATATTTCTCTTGCGTTTCGATATGGAACGAACCCGACGATCTCTGTACACTACGCACTCTTTCCATAAATTTCACCTTCACTTCATCGAAGTTGTCTTCCTCAACGGTCCCGACAGTTGTCTCACTCATTTTAAATGCAACACAGAAATAAGGTTAGGAACATGTCATCTATAGCAGTGCTTGTGCTCAACTGAATGCGCAACAGTCAGAGTCCGATCTTCGCCCCATCTAGGATTGCCTAGTCAAAGTCCGGAGAGCGTTTCTTCGTTTCGGACTTTGACGAGGTGGGTCAGTCACTCCTAGGATTGACTAAAAGAGCCGCAGTTAATGTCCGGAACTCAAGAGTATTTCGGACTTTGACCGAATATTCTGGCCACTTCGCGAAATGACTAGTCATTCCTAGGATTGCCCGCGCTTCGGGCTTTGCCTGTAACATATTTATAGATAATTTAGTTCATCTTTCAAGACGTTTGAGAGCAGTTTAAAAGGTAGCCTTATTAATCGTCAGCAAATTTAAATGAGGTAAACAATTTTCATTCCTGTCTTTTACCCCCAACTATGTAGTGGAATCGGGTGTGACGGTTAGCAATTTGTAGAAGTCATCATCAGCTTAAATACGACAAATATGACTGTAAGACCTAATTAGTGCCAAAGATCAATTCCTGAAGAGACCAGAAATCCACAACATTTGAGCAAGACTTTGTGCTTATAGCATAATATAATAACAAATAACAACAGTCTAGTGATACCCGGTGCCTAGTGTTTACAGTTTTTCGGTTCAGACGAAGTGCCTCAGTGTATGTCTATCGTGATAATGTATTTCACCCTTGAAGAAGTTTGAGAGGTACCCTTATTAATCGTCAGCAGATTTAAAAAAGGTAAACATAATTTTCATTCCTGTCAAATCATAAAACATTTACACTGAAGAAAGAACGTGCTATCCTTAGGCGAACACGGTTCACATATGTCAAGTGTCAAGCGCCATTTTTTGTAAGTGCGGTAGCTAGACATGCGACGTTGCCGGATCCTCACATAAATCGGAGTTTATCATACAATTTTATAGAGGGCATTAATGCTATATCGAACATTTTATAATGCCATTGTGTGTTATTTATGGTGACACATGCGACGTTGCCGGCTCCTCACATAAATCTGAGTTTGTCATACAATTTTATAGAGGGCATTAATGCTATATCGAAGATTTTATAAGGCCATTGTGTGCTATTGATGGTGACACATGCGACGTTGCCGGCTCCTCACATAAATCTGAGTTTGTCATAAAATTTTATAGAGGGCATTAATGCTATATCGAAGATTTTATAATGCCATTGTGTGTTATTTATGGTGACACATGCGACGTTGCCGGCTCCTCACATAAATCTGAGTTTGTCATACAATTTTATAGAGGGCATTAATGCTATATCGAAGATTTTATAATGCCATTGTGTGCTATTAATGGTGACACATGCGACATTAAAAAATGAAAAATGAATGAATAATGAAAAATGCAAAATGAAAAATGAAAAATGAAATATAAAAAATGAAATATGAAGAATGAAAAATGAAAAACGAAAAATGAAAAATGAAAAACGAAAAACCAAAAACGAAAAACGAAGAACGAAAAACGGACAACGGAAAACGGACAACGGAAAACGGAAACGGAAAACGGAAAACGAAAAATGAAAACTTATAAAAGATGACAGGTACCAGATACCAGATACCAGATACCAGAAACCAGATACCAGATACCAGACACCAGTTACCAGACACCAGACACCGGATACCAGATACCAGACACCAGATACCAGACACCAGACACCAGATACCAGAAACCAGATACCAGATCCACATACCAGATACTAGATACCAGATACTAGACACCGGATACCAGATACCAGAAACCAGATACCAGACACCAGATACCAGATACCAGATACCAGACACCAGATACCAGACACCAGATACCAGATAGCAGATACCAGAAACGAGATACCAGATACCAGACACCAGATACCAGATAAAAAGATAACAGATACCAAATACCAAATACCAGATACCACACACCAGATACCAGACACCACATACGAGATACCAGATACCAGATACCAGACACCAGATACCAGATACCAGACACCAGATACCAGACACCAGATACCAGATACCAGACACCAGATATCAGATACCAGATACTAGACACCAGATACCAGATACCAGATCCACATACCAGATACCAGATACCAGACACCAGACACCAGATACTAGATACCAGACACCAGGCACCAGATACCAGATACCAGACACCAGACACCAGATACCAGACACCAGATAGCAGATACCAGAAACGAGATACCAGATACCAAATAAAGAGATAACAGATACCAAATACCAAATACCAGATACCAGACACCAGATACCAGACACCACATACGAGATACCAGATACCAGACACCAGATACCAGATACCAGACACCAGATACCAGACACCAGATACCAGATACCAGATACCAGAAACCAGACACCGGATACCAGACACCAGATATCAGATACCAAATACCAAGTACCAGATACCAGATACCAGATACCTGATACCTGATACCAGACACCAGATACCAGACACCAGACACTAGATACGAGACACCAGATACCAGACACCAGATACTAGACACCAGATACCAGATACCTGATACCAGACACCAGATACCAGATACCAAACACCAGACATCAGACACCAGATACCAGACACCAGATCCCAGACACCAGATCCCAGACACCAGACACCAGATACCAGATACCACACACCAGATACCAGATACCAGACACCAGATATCAGATACCAGACACCAGATACCAGATAAAGAGATAACAGATACCAAATACCAGATTCCAGATACCACACACCAGACACCAGATACCAGATACCAGACACCAGATACCAGACACCAGATACCAGATACCAGACATCAGTTACCAGATACCAGACATCGGATACCAGATACCAGACACCAGATACCAAATACCAGATACCAGATACCAGATACCTGATACCAGATACCTGATACCAGATACCAGATAAAGAGATAACAGATACCAAATACCAGATACCAGACACCAGATACCAGACATCAGATACCAGACACCGGATACCAGATACCAGATACCAGACACCAGATACCAAATACCAGATACCAGATACCTGATACCAGATACCAGATCAAAGATGCCAAAGGATAAAAAATGATTAGAGATAGGGATAAAGTTATCGCTAGCATTGCATTAGCATACCAGCAACTGCGCTACGTGAGGTTTTAAATAAAGACATCAACGTGCAATATTTTGCATAGCGTTAGCGTGCCAGCAACTGCGCTAGTCGATAATATTAAGCGGTGATCTTTTGTTCGATTTGGTAGTAATAGGTATAATTGGTAGTGGTTCGGAAATTGTCGTATGACGTCGACGCGGTTTTTCCGTTTTTTTTCCCGGTTCGCGAAACGTTCGGAAGGAAAGCGATACCGTTTCGGAAACTAGAAACTCGGCGCTTTACCGGGAAGCGGGAGCCGTCGCGGTGAGAGGAACGGATCGGATCGAAAACGGCCGGTAAAGTGGAAAAAACCGGTAGATTTTCGTTCTGTCCGACGTTCAACATAGGTTTCCGCCGAAGATAAAGGAGCTGCGAACCTGGCGATTTTTGCGCGAGAAAGCCCCGGCTTCGGGCTCAAAGATAGCGGCTTTCGTTTTTTTTCTTTATGCCGTTTCGTTCGAAAATTTCGATTTTTTTGATTTCCTCGACTACGCGCTACTTTCCGATTTTTCCGGTTTTTTTCCGGGTTCGCGGAACGTTCGGAAGGAAAACGATACCGTTTCGGAAACTAGAAACTCGGCGCTTTACGGTGGAGCGAGAGTTGTCGCGGTAGGAGGAACGAACGCGATCGAAAATGGCCGGTAAAGTTGAAAAATCGGTAGATTTTCGTGCCGTTCGACGCGCTTTTTCTATCTCCTCCGAAGATAAAGGAGCTACGAACCTGACGATTTTTGCGTGAGAAAGCCCGGACATCGGACTCAAAGATAGCGTCTTTTTTTTCCTTTATCCCTTGTTGGTCGAAAGTTTCGATTTTTTAAAAATTGCCCGACAACACGCTACTTTTCGACGCGCGAAAAAGTCACTTTGTCATCCGGCTCTGTCCTCGCCTATTACTACCGTACGTGGGCGAGTAAAAATTATACAGCTATCGAAATATAACGATAATGAGCTGAGGAAACGATTCTGACCGTTAGAATTACCGTCAAATTTCGAAAAAGTAAACTTTGAGCGCCTCAAAAGTACCGATGACAGCCGTTTTTCGGCGTACTTTGTCTTCGTCGATAC